GTATAAGGTCGATATAATTTAATTCCGTGACAACAAGGCCGTGGCGAATATTGATCAATCAAATGTAAGCACATTAATGAAACAGTAATAAATATAACATCGTTTTTCTATTCATTATCTCTTCCATTTTAGTTACTGCAGTTATTTTAGTTAATGGGGGTTGTTTATTTTATACAAATAATTAAAAATGCGTCTATATTGTTGTTGTTATTGTTTCAATGTCATCAGTTTGATTGAAGAAGAAAATAAAGGAAATTACTTTCCAATATATGTACAAATTAAATGATTTATTATCTTTTTTGTATGTTTTCCTTACAATAATTGATTACAAATTAATTTGAATTACATCTTTTTTTCAGTTTTATTTGGTTAAGTAAACTTTAATATTTGTTCTATAGAATTTTAAAAATAATCGATACTTTTAGTTTACGTGATTCTGGAAATGCAAATGCACTTTGGTTAATAGCGTTTACGTGAAGTGGAATTGAAAGTTTGTAAATTTAAGATGAAGTTCAAATAGTTGCACAATAAATAGCATCTGACTTGACCCATTTCCGTTGTTCAAATAATTAGTGATCGGTGTTGTCGAAGTGATGCATATTTAAATGTTTTCCCTTTCGTGCATTATTTGTGCGGTACGGAAATAACTTCAAGGATATCGATTTATAGATGAATTCCGGTCCCAATTTGGTTAATATTTAATAAATTCGATCGTGGTGGGTGGATGACGATCGAGTCGAACCAGGGGGGTGAAAAGTGATTCCAGCACGCGACTCGAGTTCAGTTCAGGGGGGGGGAGAGGGTTGCTGGATGGTAGACCCGCGCTCGTTCGGCCTCAGACTTATTAGTAAAGTTTCGGGCTCTAGGATACACATAATCAAATCTACCGTGAAGTACACGTCGTGTGCAGCAGAACAGAGGACTCTGACGCGACGCGTCGGGCGCTTGAAGAGGGTGGCAGTGGGTGGTGGGTTTGCGAGCACGCGCCCACCCTCGTTTTCGGGGGGGAGGCATGGGGGTTTCGCCCGATCGTACGGCCGGGAGCGTCGACATCTGTTCCCGGCAGTTGAGCGCCCGCTAGATTTCTACAACGCCCCATCTACAACCCCCCATCCAGACTCTCGTCCCATACGTGATCGGAAACGGAACGCGTCCCACATCCAGAAACACCAAACGCTGCCACCCCCGCATACATCTCGACCCCTATGCGATAACAATACGTACGACCTGTTTATCCCGCGGAGCGGATCTACCTCAATTTTTATCATTGACCTCTTCGGGAAGATGGCATAGCATAAAAGGGAACCTCTGAATAGTACAAATCCGTTTTGCATTCGGATCCAAGATTATGAAGCAGATTCTTGATAAAATCAAGAACAGAAGAGCAACCATATCAAATTTACCATCTTCAATAATGTAAATGTTATTGTAAATGAAATTATACTTTTGAATTTCCTCAGATCATTAAAAAGACAGTAAATTACATCTACTTCTGTAGAATTCTGCAAAAAAGTAGTAGTACTATTGAAGAACTTCGTTTTTGGGGATGAAAGAAATAATGTTACCACTCATCCAATTTTAGTTATAATTTTAACAATCGTGATAGTATTTGACTATACACAACATTATATTAGAAACTACCTTTACCTTACGTTTATACAAATTATTCAACGACGTTCAATGCCTACAGGTCAAGTTATTTTAAAACATTTCCTGCAATTGATCATAAAATTGGATGTTGTAATCTAGCATGCGAATACACAACCGAGATTATACTTTCACAAAATAATGCACTAACATATATGAAACATTATTAATTGTTCATGGAATTTAAATATTTATAGTATTTAAAAACAAATGGAATACAATATTGTTTGGAATAATGTAATGTTATCGTATACTTATATGAGCATATTATTTTATTGTCATTCCTTCGGGCGAAATGTCTACGAGGTTTGCATAAAATTTATGCTATCGTAAAAAAGCCCAATAACAATCAAAAATGAAATATTTACATGCATTACACTAAAAAATATGTGCATGTAGCACCGACATGAAATTCGGTAAAAATTGTATAGTCAACATTTTTTTATTTTTAATATTTCTATATAACCTCGTCTATCTTTTTAAGATAGTAATATTCACACAAAGTATTGCGTGATATAGAAAGCAATTAAAAGATCAAATTTAATCTCATTATCTTATACTTATTTAATAATTTTACTTAAATTACTTTTATACGAATAAGAATTAGTAAAACATTATTATGTAATTTATTTACTTTCCCTATATAATTGTTTTAATTTGATTGATATCTTCTTGTTATAGTAGTGTATAAGGTCGATATAATTTAATTCCGTGACAACAAGGCCGAAGCGAATATTGATCAATCAAATGTAAGCACATTAATGAAGCAGTCATAAATTTAACATCGTTTTTTTATTCATTATCTCTCCCATTTTAGTTACTGCAGTTATTTTAGTTAATGGGGGTTGTTTATTTTATACAAATAATTAATAATGCGTCTGTTCTGTTGTTTCAATGTCATCAGTTTGATTGAAGAAGAAATTAAAAGGGAATTACTTTCCAATATATTTGTACAAATTAAATGATTTATTATCGTGTATTAAAGAAAATTATATTAATTTAATTACATAATGTACTTTCTATCGAAATCTCGACTGTATCGAAATCCCGACATTTGAAATCCCGAATGTATCGAAATCTTGACAACCAAATTACTGACTATATCAAAATCTCGATTGTATCGAAATCCCGACTGTATCGAAATCCCGACAGTGTCTTTTATTATTATAATTTATACAATAACTTTTGAATTATTAATAATAAACCTTGACAATTTGAAATAACCTGAAATGCAATTAGATTATTAATTGTTATTAACTATTTTCATTGACTTAATAAAACTTAAAATTAAGAAATAAACTAAATTAAAATTAATTTATTGTTATTAATATTAAATAATAGTAGATGGTGACTACGTTTCGGAATAATTTAAAAATGTTATTGGTTAAATTATAATAATAAAAGACACTGTCGGGATTTTGATACAGTAGGGATTTAGATAAAGTCGGGATTTCGATTGCCACCGATATTTGTAATGTTCATTTATTATATTTCGTAGCTCTTATATAAGTTTAGTATCTTTCTTTTTTATTAAATTTGGTAGTAAATGGTCGGTCCTATACGAAGAGCCCTTTGTGTGTGGTCTGATAAAGCACAGACCGTATATCACTCGTAGCGACCCCCACGGGATGAATCCATCAATGTGCGTTTGTCGAAACGCTCGTCGACACATTTTTTATACATAAATTACTATTAGACCTCCCCATATTTATCCAGAGGACAACAACAAACAACAACGACGACCACCACCAGCAGCAGCAGAAGAACAAACTGAACTAAAAATATGGCCATCGCAGCTTCGAGTGATAATTTTTTTTCGAAATTATTTACAGGAATAATTAGAACACGTAATGTAAATAATACAATGGTTGTTTGCTCCCAGTTTATATTTGTGTGTGTGTGCCTGTATATGTGTATATAATGGTAAACTTGAAACGTTACACATACTATCCGAGGCTTTATTACAAAAGTTTAATTACGCCCGGATTGTTAGACGTACTGTGTCTGTCTGAACGGTGGGGGCGAGAGAGACGAGGCTGACTTGCTTATTGCTACATATTTGATTAACCCAAAGCCAACAGTTTAATAGCCACATGATATTTATTATTGTTACTATTATTGAACCTTGGCTAACTAATATTGAACAAACAACTTTACGCTTCATAAAACTGTCTGCCATCAAGAAGATAAAGCTTTCAAACTAATAAAAGTAGCAAATACTTCTACTATTAATATAGCTTCTTTTATATCTAATCAATTTAGTTCTATATTTTATCCTTTTCAAAATACTCATTTCATTTGACCTTATTATTAAAGTTTTACGGAACAATAAAAATTAATTTGATATTACTAACTTGATGTGTTGTGGAAGTGACTTTTTTTTTTAATTCCAAAACTGATTAATTCAAGATCAATTTACTTGTAGATTTTATGGAAATTCAATTTCATTCCAATTTATTTTTTTGATTGTCTGCCGATTTCAGTGATTCCTAAATTTATGAGTATTCTTATATCAATAACTAAATTAAACTTCATAATGTATTAACAGTGAATGAGTATAAAATAAACAAAAACTAAATTTTATTATAAAAGTTTTTGTAACTTTATTTTGATTTCGAGTGAACTTTAATTATGTAATTAAAGAATTCGTATTAATCAATAATTATTATTGAATTTTTTTCAATTAATTGATGAAGTTTTTTTTTTGGATTGATTTAATTAGTTATAAAGTGCTTTAATTAAAGGATCAAGTTTCTTAGAAGCTTAATATTTATTTTATAAGATTAATTTGATATTACGAACATTGATTTTTGTTCATCTGAAAATTAAATTATTTTATGCTTCAGAACCAGTCTTGATGCGTTGTTGAAGTGACTTTTTTTTATTCCAAAACTGATTAATTCAAGATCAATTTACTTGTAGATTTTATGTAAATTCAATTTCATTCCAATTTATTTTTTTTATTGTCTGTCGATTTCAGTGATTCCTAAATTTATGAGTATTCTTATATCAATAACTAAATTAAATTTCATAATGTATTAGCAGTGAATGAGTATAAAATAAACAAAAACTTAAACAAAACTAAATTTGATTATAAAAGTTTTTGTAACTTTATTTTGATTTCGAGTGAACTTTAATTATGTAATTAAAAAATTCCTATTAATCAATTGAATTTTGTTCAATTAATTGATGAAGTTTTTTTTGGATTGATTTAATTAGTTATTAAGTGTTTTAATTAAAGGATAAAGTTTCTTAGAAGCTTAATATTTATTTTATAAGTTTAGATTACATTAAGAAATCGATATATTTATGAAATAATAAAATTCACCGGTGCGTGTAGCAGTTCTAGGAACTTAGTAGTTCTGAAAACCGAAAGACACTGAAGGTTTGGCGATTTCCCAAGAAGAGATGACGCCTACCGCAAATTCGACGATCTTCCTCAGACAGCGAACACCGGCCAACGTGATGGAATGCACCTTGGAGATTTTGTTCATGAAGAGATTGTACACACGTTGAAACAGATCGAAGTTGTCGTTGATCAGGGCGTTCACACGTGACGCCATTTCTCCTTTGAGTCGGAGGAAAGCTTCCACCAAGCTGAGAACCTCCACTTTTGGGCTTAAAAGCGTTCCCACCGAAGGCTTGCTGACACTGAATTGAATGCCGCCGCCGCCTCCAACTCGTCTCTCCTCTTCGCTCTCATATTGATCATGCACTGAAGAAGACGACACCTTATTGTTGTCATCCTCGTACTCATCCAGCAAGGACATCAGTGTATCGTAATCTACATCTTGAACCCGTGCACTCTCGCAAATAACCCCGAAGAACATCTACAGGAACCAAAGGACATTTTAATTTTATGAATATTCGAAAAGTCTACAACACTTACCATAAGGATAATAACTTTTAAAGCTGCCATTTTTGAGCTACGATCTGTTTGCTTGGACTGCGACAAGTGAACTATGATTAACGAAGGGTTGCGGTCCCAGTTATATACTCGTGCAATTCGGTAACTTTCACCCTTTAGACTAATTGCGTAATATGAAAATTGTCTTTTAATGCTTATTGCGAGGGATCTGCCGAAAGGAAAAGCAAATATATGCTCTGGAAATCTAACGCTCATTGTACGTGCTTGGGTTTCGTATTCCCAGAAGTATTTTCTACATCTTCTTCATAACTTTATTAGATTAAAAGCGACCGACGTGTTTTTATTCCCCTTCACCTTCTGCACAGCAAAGATTATAAAAGGGTTTCCCCGTTTCGGATTAAACCTAAATTTAAATTGATCCCAACAATTTCAAATAATCCCACCAATTAGTTTAAAACGCACAACCCCCCATCCACCAAACAGCTAAATGTTCAAAATATTTCCATTTTATTTACTCATTTTGTAGAAATCCAAATATATATAATATATGTACATTTATAACAAACATAATTTATTAATTATATAAAACCGGAGCTTTTTGTCACATACATTGAAATGGATTTTAGGGAAGGTTTTCATTAATTTATTCTATTTATTTTTGTCTGTCGATATTTTCGAGCGCGCACATTATTGAAACGATAAAATAAAAGTAAATTGCAAATAACAAAAAAAAGCATTTTACAATATGCGTTTAATAAAGTATGAAATCGAATCAAATAAATAACGCGCATGGTAGCGTATATTTTTATATTGCAACAAATAAATAAATCATGTTTAACATTAAAATATTAACATTTAACATCACTATGTAATAGGAATGTTTGAAGTAGAAGTAGAATATTTATTTTTCATTAAATAAACATATACAGTGGAACGAATTTAATCCGTTCCAAAATTTCCGGATTTTTGCTCACACATATTTAAAAATACACATAATATTCGGGACTTTTCTTCTCATAAACGTCGTTTGTTAAGCGAAATGCTTGATAAGTTTGTAAATTTTTTAATTAGATAAATTTTTATTGCTTTTTGCAGAGTTGTTTTTTGTAATACATTCAATATTATTATAATTTTCAAGATGTTTACCATAAATCTAGTATATAATTTATTGCTGAAGTTTGGGGAAACTTAACTATTATGTAAAGATTAATTACGGTGAGGTAAGTGGAATAAATTTGGTTGACTTGTAAAGGTCTGAAATATCCGTTGACATTGATTTAAGGCCAACTTCGCACACCTAGTTCATTTCGGCTTTGTTCCATTTCATCCATAACATCACATAACATTCAAACAAAGTTTATATAAAAATAAATACGTTTCACACAAATATATCCAGTTAATTCAGAGTGTTTTGGTTTTAATAAATATTTTAAAAATGAAACCAAAAAAATATTTAATTATTTTGATGACTCTAAATTAACATATATTATAATGATATTTTACTATCAATTAAATGTTTGGAACTTTGCTTATTATCATTCGTCTGGTATAAACAAAATTCCCTATGGAAGCCCCAACTAATGCATCTTTGCAAAGTTCAATGTATAGCGAAATCCACTAAAGTTGTTAATAATTTGGGAACATTTAAATTCGAAATAGCTGAAAGCTGCATTATCCCCGATTTATTATAATCCACTTATTAATTTAATCGGACTAAAATGTATTTTATTCTGGATGAAATTATTAGTTCACTGTAAATTGCAAGTTGTGTGTTTTGCAAGGTAATGTAAATGTTTATAATCTGCGTAACTACAAAATTGTTGTATAACATGCAATGCTCATTTATTATATAAGATGAAGTTTTTAGATTACAATACAATTTAAATATATAACAATTAGTTTATGAAATGTGACTAATTATAATTCGGAACTGACGATGAGCTACGGCTTCTGCAGTATCAATTCGTCATTGGAGAAGTTGGTGTGCTATTCTAATTATGTAACACAGACGCATTTAATTGAAAGCATCTGTAGTCTGGCTTGTAAACTCGACGTGAATATTGTCTTCTGCCTACCGAGGGCGGTGGATGGTAGGAAAGTTATTGATTGAGAGTGCGGCGACTCCAATAATTGGACGATTAATTGAAGGGATTCCGGTAGATTGGTTGCGACCCAGACGACAGAGACATACACACACACAGACCTAATTGGGGGGACAAAGTACAGGATACTACCCTAGTCCAAGCACAATCCCGACACCCGTTCTCAATTATTATATTGTAATTAGATCCAAGTTTTATGACGGTTTGACCGTATAAATCATGTGACCCAGGGTTAAATATTTGCTTTCTTTGTTTGCATCTCAATTAGTTGGGACGGGAATAGATTGAGTTTTAATTATATTAGGACTTCCAATTTCGGGCGACAATTAGCCTAATTTAATAACGTCGAAGTTAATATTAATATATATGAGGTGATCGGAATATTCCATTCAAATTAATATCAAGAAATAATTGAATGCTAATTAAATCTAATTTAAAATTTCAAAAAACCATTTCTCATTTCGTTGTAATTTCAACTCTCGTAAATTATCTTTTTATTATTACGTATATTAAAAGGCAGTACTAATTAATATTAACAATATTTATTAAAAAAAAGTTATAGATTCACATAAATTATTGCGATAATTCGTAAATTATCTATATAATTATAAGAATCTTAACTGGATAGATCCATGGATGCAATTCTGGACACAGTGGAAGTCTCAGTTGTTGGGAATTTAATGAAATTTGTTTGGTTTTACATAACTTTATTTGTTATTCTTATAAGATTATAAAGGTTTTATTGAAACTACTTCTAAATACTTATTACTATTAATACGGACGGGATGGGAGTTTGAGGAGTAAGGCACGATTTTGAGAAGGAGCGTCTTCTGTTCTCCGTGGTTTTTGTCAATTCTGCAGTTTGGTTTATAGTTAAAAATAGGAAGAAACGCTGCAAAACGGTCACTGTCCTCCGTGGGATTTGTCTATTCTGTATATTGATTCTGTTAATGACCTATAATAATCCAAACTTTAGTGGTTGGACACAACAGCCCTAATTTATTAAAAAAAAAACTGTTTTATTCAAATTTTAATAAAAGCACTTACTTAATCATAAAAAAAACATCTTACCTGTTTTTTTGATTATTCAACATTTCCTACTGTTAAAAATACATCTAGTTTCAATTTATATTAGTTTTAATCGTAAGACAAAATTGTATTTAAAAATTAATGATTCCAATTGGAATCACTGGGCTGGAAAGGGTTAAAATGTACTTATTTACATAATTATTCTCTAAATAGGGAATTAATTTAGTTATTAGATAAAACATGCTAATTTAAAAAAAATAGTATAATGTTAACATAGAGATTTAGAAACATAGACAAATAAGAGTTAACTTTTTTATTTTTTACCAATAATAAAGCAAACTTAACTTCAGAAATCTATAACAAATACTCTACAGAAAGAGAAAATTGTTAAATCATACACGAATTTTAACTATACATATAAGATATAGAGAAGTACTAACACATTTCTTTGCAATATTTTCTATAATTTAAATAAATGATAAAATTATTAAGACAATAGAATAAATGGCAGAATTTGCTATGGTCAATAGGAATTTGCAATAATTCAAGTGCTACATTGTATGTTTTGAAATGAAAACTTTAGTATTAAATTTCAAAACGTTTTTTTCGTATATAATTTGTAGAATGTAATTAAATGGAAAAAGAGATTATCTTGAAAAATGCATCAGCGTATCTCGTAATGAAATTTATTCACGTATATATTTTAATGGCGTATTCACATGATAGGTGCAGGGCACAGCAGACAAAGGGAAGAAGGAGGAACAACAACATCGCGAACTGGAAGATCATAATAGTAATGACTGGCAATTAAGCTCTCTCCACGAGCAAGTGAATTTAAATAACACTTAACTTAGCATAGGAATGCTAATAACGGCGGCGGCCCACCCGTCTCCCATTTGAAATATTCCAAAGTGCATTCACGGAAACGCATTACCCAATGATTAAATTCTAATTACCTCCGGTTCTCCAGGTAAAGCACAAGATAACGCGAATTACCCGACAACATCCAATAATTCAATCATATTTCGAAATGACTTTCTTCTTGTGGTTGAACGTAGACAAAAAAAATATAAAAAAGAGTAGATAACAGCAGTCCTAGAGGAAAGGTCTTAATGACTTCAACCGGTCAAGTGTGAGTGGCGAAAAAAGAAAAAGAAAAGCGAGCAGAGAAAGAAACGGCTATTAGTTTGACCCTTCCGTCCTTAATGGCAAAAACACCACCCTCGGACCTATGAACTAAATTAAAAGCAACAGTGATCGCATTAGATCTCTCCAAATATTTTTTGTTACTTTCGCGAGCGGCTTAAGTTTTTCTGCCCTGTTTTTTTATTGTGCAACTGGGGGTAGCGCTGTATTTTTATATATATATTTTCGGGTGTTAGTTTTCGGTGACCGAAATGAGGGCTAATCCCGTTAGTGCACACGGCCTAAACGCGTCCCATTTTGTGGCCCAATTCTGTGTGTGCCTTCTGGGTCCTCGAAACCCTCCGGCAAAACCGTTTTAATTTATTATTATTGCGCAAGCTTCAACCGCAAAAAAATGGACGTACACACACACATACATTCATTGCAGGCCGCAGGGCACAATGACATACACTTAGAATTAACTGCGACCTTAATAGGTATCATCCTACATAATTAAAATTAACGTGCACACAGAAATCCTGAGCTCTAAAATTACTTTATCTACAATAACCCTTCGTTCGTTATGACAACGCCGCTCCCTTATTTATATCTCAAATATAATAAATATAAAGTACAATTCATTTCACTTATAAATACTTATACTAATTACTAATTTGGATTTCTCCATAAGCATCCCTATCATGTGAATAAATATTGAAATGTTTTATAAATTTAAAAAGAAACTATCGTAACTTTCACAGAATATTATATAATATTACTTGACAAACTCGATAGAAATACATATTCGTTTCCAATCAACGCAATCGTTTCAAAGCAATTGCAAAAAAAACTTGGATTTAATACAAGAAACGTTTAAAAAATGCGATTAAAGTTGAAACCGTTACAACGCCCCTGTTCAACCAGAGATGATTTTCCAGGTCAATCTTCTATACAGATGAACGCAACGAAGGGAATGTCTTTAAAACAAGTTAAAGAAACTTCACTAAATGTTACGTGAAGACTCGCAACTTTCTAAAGAAAATAAGTTACTTAAAGTTAACTTTACTTAACTCTTTATTCCCTGAATATAATGTGAATAAATTACGAATAAGTACCAAAAGAAATTGTTCTCATATTTTCTATAATTATTAGACTTAATAAATCATAAATATAGAAAATAATATTTGAAAAGAAATAAATGTCTGTATTTTCATTAAATTCACGTTCTAAGAGGATTACAGTTTAAGACGCAAGAAGGAAAATGTGATTTGTTATTGTATAGCCCATAAATTCTGGAAGGAAACGGAAGGATTAAGTATGTAAATTATATTCAAACCAGAAATATGATAAAGGAAGGAAAACATTTTGCACCGAAAAATGAAACACGCAATAAAAATGGATGATAAATGAATGCCGAATAAAAGCAGTAAACGGTTACAGAACATAAAAGAGACTTTCTTTGTTTCTTTAATACAAATATTTAATTAATCTCAGGTATACAACAATGAAAACCTTTGTTAAATAGCAATTTAAATGTACTTTAAACATCATAGTTAATTAATTATATAGATTCTAATTCGGATCTTTAAATTGTACTTTTAGGAATGATCTAGATAGATGATAAAAAAAAAATGTGTATTTTCTGCATTGCGGCATTGGTAAATACAAAAAAAATCGACGAGGTTTTATAAACAGGAAATCGAAAAAAAATTAGCGCATAACCACCGAAAGGATTTGGAACAAAATGGAAAACAGATGGTTCAAAAAAGCTTTTTCGTTTTACAAAGAACAATGACACAAGGCTTTAGTTGTGTTGTATTTTAACACTGGACTAAAAAAAGGATGGATTTATGCAAGTAATAACAACAATAAAGAACGGAATAAAAGAAATTTCATTATTTTTAATTAGGATTTATATGTAATGAGACTCTTTTTATGTGTTTATAAGATGTATAATAAGATATAATGCAGTTTACAGAGTACATACCTAGTTAATAGAATTGCAGTGATAAATAACATGAACGTATAATTTCTAAACCGCAATCTGAAATTGCAATCAGAATTGTAGCGCTATTTGTTCGCAAGTATATTTTGCATAGCGTAATTGGAAAAGTTCAAATAATTTTAAGTTTAAATTAGATCGATTCATTAAAAAAAAATAGCGGATATTTATGCTACCAGTTACATTTTAAAAACAACAATGCACGTTTGTTACGTACAAACGGACAAAGGTATCGCCGCGCGTGAAATTGCATAAAAGACTATAGAGAAACACACCGGTAAATGTAAAACAATGAAATATGTACGAACAAGATTGAAATCGTTTACATTCGCCACGCGAAAACACTTGTTCACGTGCAATTAATTATCTTTTAGCATTAACACAGTGATATGTTTATAGTAATTAAATTTAACAAATTAACATTTCGCGCTCGTCGTTGTTATTACTTAATAGTATATATTTTTAGCCCATTTT